AAAAAAAAAAAAAACAAACACCACCGAGGCAGCGGCAGAAAAAATGCCCTGTCGGGACGGGGAGAGGAGGAGGTTAAAAGAAAAAACAAATAAAAGGGAGAAATTAGAAGAAATGAGAACAGTGGGTCGGGAAGGCATGCAGGGCACCCCCTGAGCCTGATGCTTTGGGGGTCAGGGCTGGCCCTGGGGATGCTTCCCGGCCGTCGGCTGCGTGCCGGGGCGTTATCCCGGCGGGGCTGGCCAGCCTATTTTTTCCAGGCGAGGAAATATTTAACCGCGGCGTCAGCGAGCAGAGCAGGAGGGTGCAGGCATGGAGGAGGGTGGCGGGCAGCACCCGGTCCCCGCTGCCCCCCCGGGGCGACCCCAGGAGGAATCCCTGCAGCTCCTTCTGCGCCGCAGCCGGGAGGCCAAAAACTGTGCCTATTGCCCCTACAGCCGCTTCCCGGTGGGCGCCGCGCTGCTCACTGCCGGCGGGGAGATCTTCTCTGGTAAGCCAGGGCTGTGAGACCCCCAATCCTTTAGGTTTTGGGGTCCCCCATGCAACCCTTTGGGGGTGCAGAGGGAACAGGGTGCTGGTTCCCTCCCCCCACCCTCCCCCTCTTGGCAGTCACCATCCCAGACCGAGCCAAAGATCGCAGCGGATGGGAAAATACGGGAAATAAATAGGGGAAGCGGGGAATGTGTTGGCAAGAGGGTGGTGAACAGGGAATATGGGGCTTTTTTTGCAAATTCCTCCACCCTACCCCCCGCCACTGGACAAAATGACCCAGAGGGGAGCTGGTGGGGTTCAGGGTGGCTGAGGGGGGTTGCTGGGGGCTTCCCCGCAGGGTGCAACGTGGAGAACGCCTGCTACAGCCTGGGGGTGTGCGCCGAACGCACCGCCATCCAAAAAGCCATCTCCGAGGGACACACCAGGTTCAAGGCCATGGCCATTGCCAGGTAAGGGCACCCCGAGGGATGGGCAGGGGGGGCAGCAGGAAAAACCCCAAGGGGCAGCTTCTGAGAATTTTTTGGGGGGGAAAGCAGCATTCTGCGTGTTTTTTGGAGTATGTTTGGGGGTAAATACGCTGTCGCTCTTTATTTATTGGTGGATGAAGGTCTTCTACAGGTGTTCTCCCCGCCCCAAGACTGAGTTCTGTTCCCTTCTCTTTTGGCAGTGACATGAGGGACTTCATCACACCCTGCGGTGCCTGCAGACAAGTGATGAGAGAGGTGAGTGTTCACGAGGGGACCCCACATCTCCTGACCCCAGGCATCGTCCCCAAACCCAGGCATTGTCCCCTGACCCCAGGCATCTCCCCCAAAACACCTGGAAGTACAAATGGGGCGTTGCAGCCCCTGTCCCCAACCCCAGAACCAACTCTGGGCTCCTCAAATTGCCCTCTCTGGGAAAGGGGGATTCCTCCCTGTTCCATGGGTGGTAATTCATTAACTCGCCCTCTCCAGGGGGTTTAATTCCTCCCAGGAGCAGAGTTTGGCCCCGGAGCTGTTGCCCCGGCTCTGCCAAGCCTGAAAATGGGGCTTTTCCTGCAAAAAGCTGAGCTCCCCACAGAGCCCATCCTGCTCTTACCTCCCTCCTCCCCATGGGCACCCTGGCACCTGCAGCCTGGTTTTGGGTGGTTAATATTTAATGGGCCACGGGGCTCAGCTCAGTGGCCGGATTCATCAGGTTTGGAGGCACCAGGACTCACCCTGGGGCAAGGTGGGGAGACAAAAATGGAAGATCTGAGCCCAAAATACCCCTTGGGTCAGACGATGCTGAAAAGCCACCCCAAAATACATGCAATAGAGGGGGATGCTCGCCACGAACCTGGCCAAAAAAAAGGATTATTTGAAGAATTTGAGGAAGAAGTGCAGGTTTTGCAGCAAGGCACTTTTTCTCCCTCTTCTCCTCCAGTTTGGCACAGACTGGGATGTCTACCTGACCAAAGCTGATGGGACCTACATCGTCAAGAGGCTGGAGGAGCTGCTGCCGCTCTCCTTCGGCCCCGAGGACCTGAAGAAGGTGTGAGCAGCGCGGCCAACACCGGCCTTTGCCCTTCGGCAGCAGGGGAGGATGGTTTTCCCCAAATCCCCCGGTGTGTAGGCGGCTTTTTGGGGACAATGCAACGGGAAATGTGTTTATAGTGTTAAGTTATCCATTCCTCTCGCTCGATTTCTGATTCCGCGCTGATTCGCAGATGCCGGCCCCACCTCGCCCCAGGGAAATGGCGAAATCAAATTGTAGAAATTCCCTGTTATTAGAAAAAAAAAAAAAAAAGAAGTGTCCCAATCTCACTGTAGGCGAGGGGGGAGATCCCAGGAGGAAAAGGGTTTGAGGCATGGCTCGAGCTTGGGCTTGTTGGTACCGAAATTGCTTGGGAAAATGCTGGATTCTTTAGCTCTGAAGGAGAAGTGAAAGCCAAGAGGAAAAGCTCCACCAACCCCAGTGGTTATTAATAAGCCAGTTGAGATTAGGAGATTTGCTGGAACTGGATGGTTATCGCCCTCAGCGTGTCCTTTGCTCGTTTTTCTCCGGCTTGTTTTTCTTCCTTTTATTCCGTTTGTGGGGACGAAGAGGGAGAAGAGTTTTCTGGGGAGTTTTGGTGTCTCCGCAGTCATGCCGTTTGCTGACTGTGTGATTAATTTAATTGCGCACAATGAAAAATTAATGTGTTGTATTTCCAAACGGGTGCTGGGTTGGGCATTACTGCCTACGCCCGAGTGAAATAAAAGCAGTCCTGGTTTATCTCCTGCAATTTGCAGTCAAATGATGAATCAATCACAGGGAAGGAAGAAGCTGGGCCTTGGGGCTGCCCCGCTGCCAGGCAGGGCAGGGGGACACTGGCTGTGCAGGCAGGACACAACCAGAACGTGGCATAGCCCAGAGTGTGGCCAGGGCACTGCTGGCCATATGGCTAGTGTCCTCCTGCCCTCGCTGGCCGTGTCCTGCTCCGTGCCCTGCTCAGTGCCCTGTGTGTGCACTGGGCTGTGCACAAGTGTCAGGGTTTAACCCCCAACAGCAACTGGGACCACACAGCCACTCGCTCACTAGAATAGGAAAAAGAGAGGGAAAAGAGAGGGAAAAGAGAGGGAAAAGAGAGGGAAAAGAGAGGGAAAAGAGAGGGAAAAGAGAGAGAAAAGAGAGAGAAAAGAGAGAGAACAGAGAGAGAAAAGAGAGAGAAAAGGAGGGGAAAACCCCTCCTTTTGGGTTGAGATAAAGATGGTTTAACAGAACAGGAACGGAAGAGGAACGAGGGGAAAACCCCTCCTTTTGGGTTGAGATAAAGATGGTTTAACGGAAGAGGAACATAATAATAGAATCAGAGAATGGTTTGGGTTGGAAGGGATCTTAAAGCCCCCCCAGTGCCACCCCCTGCCCTGGGCAGGGACACCTCTCACCAGCCCAGGTCGCTCCAAGCGCCCTCCAACCTGCCCTTGAACCCCTCCAGGGATGGAGCAACTACAATAATAAGGCTAAAAGAGTATACAAAATACAGTGATAGAACACAAGGTGCTCTCCCTACCCCGTGCTCAGTTGCCCAGCCTCTCTGGGAGCAGTGATTGTGGGTTCCTGTCCCCCCACCAACCCCCATTTCTATACTGAGCGTGACGTTTATGGTATGGAATATCCCTTTGGCCAGCGTGTCCTGTCTGTGCTCCCTCTCAGCTTCTACAGGAAGCTGAAAAATCCATGACTTAATATAAACATTACTCAGCAACAACTAAACCAGTATGTGTTAGCAACGACCTCACACTAACTCCAAAACACAGCAGTTACTAGGAAGAAAATGAACTTTATCGCAGGTGAAACCAGGACAACAAGCTGTGCCTAGGGCAGGGCTCTGGGCCGTGCCCTGGGCTGTGCCTGAGCCGTGCCCAGGGCAGTGCCATGCTCTGTGCCCTGCTGTGCACTAGTCCGTGCCCTGCCGTGCACAAGGCACACCCAGCCGTGTCCCGGGCTGTGCCCTGCATGGGCACGGGGCTGTACCTTGGCTGTGCCCTGCTCCGTGCCCTGCCACGTACTGGGTCGTGCCTCACCGTGCACCAGTTTGTGCCCTGCTGTGCACAGGGTCATGCCCGAGCCGTGCCCAGGGCAGTGCCATGCTCTGTGCCCTGCTGTGCACTAGTCCGTGCCCTGCCGTGCACAAGGCACACCCAGCCGTGTCCCGGGCTGTGCCCTGCATGGGCACGGGGCTGTACCTTGGCTGTGCCCTGCTCCGTGCCCTGCCACGTACTGGGTCGTGCCTCACCGTGCACCAGTTTGTGCCCTGCTGTGCACAGGCCATGCCCAGGGCCGTGCCCTGCCCTGGGCTGTCACACACCATGCACCAGTGTGTGCCCTACTGTGCACAGGGTCATGCAAAAGCCATGCCCAGGGCAGTGCCATGCTCTGTGCCGTGCTGTGCACTAGTCTGTGCCCTGCTGTGCACAAGGCACCCCCAGCCATGCCCTGGGCCGTGCCCTGCCACGTACTGGGTCGTGCCTCACCGGGCACAAGTTTGTGCCCTGCTGTGCACAGGCCATGCCCAGGGCCGTGCGCTGCCCTGGGCTGTCACACACCATGCCCCAGTGTGTGCCCTGCTGTGCACAGGCCATGCCCAGGGCCGTGCGCTGCCCTGGGCTGTCACACACCATGCCCCAGTGTGTGCCCTGCTGTGCACAGGCCATGCCCAGGGCCGTGCGCTGCCCTGGGCTGTCACACACCATGCCCCAGTGTGTGCCCTGCTGTGCACAGGCCATGCCCAGGGCCGTGCGCTGCCCTGGGCTGTCACACACCATGCCCCAGTGTGTGCCCTGCTGTGCACAGGCCATGTCCAGGGCTGTGCCTTGCACTGGGCTGTCACACACCATGCACCAGTGTGTGCCCTGCTGTGCACAGGGTCATGCCCGAGCCGTGCCCAGGGCAGTGCCATGCTCTGTGCCCTGCTGTGCACGGGGTTGTGCACAAGCCATGCCAAGGGCAAGGCTCTGCTCCATGCTGTGCCCCCGTGTACCGGGCCATGTCCTGCGTGGCACTGGGCTGTACCTCCTCCGTGCCCTTCTGTGCACCAGTGTGTGCCCTGCTGTGCACAGGCCATGTCCAGGGCTGTGCCTTGCACTGGGCTGTCACACACCATGCACCAGTGTGTGCCCTGCTGTGCACAGGGTCATGCCCGAGCCGTGCCCAGGGCAGTGCCATGCTCTGTGCCCTGCTGTGCACTAGTCCGTGCCCTGCTGTGCACAAGGCACACCCAGCCGTGTCCCGGGCTGTGCCCTGCATGGGCACGGGGCTGTACCTTGGCTGTGCCCCCCCCCGTGCACCAGTTTGTGCACTGGGCCGTGCCCGGAGCTGTGACCCGTGCCCTGCTCTGTGCCCTGCCGTGCCCCGGGGCCGAGCCCCTCTCCGTGTCCCGGGTTTGTTCCCTGCTCTATCGTGTGCTCTGCCCCTCTCCACGCCATGCTGTGCCCTGCTCCGTGTCCCGGGTGGTGCCCCGGGCTGTGTCCCGCAAATCCCGGGGCTGTGCCCCGCCGTGTCCCGGTCAGTGCCCTGCTCCGTTCCCCGCCATCCCCCGCCGTTCCCCGCCATCCTCTGCCGTTCCCCGCTCCGTTCCCCGCTCCGTTCCCCCCCTCCGTCGCCCGTGTGTTCCGGTGAGCTGGGGGATGTTACCCACCAAAAGCCAAATGCCCTTTCTTATGCCAAGCTCTGGCCATGGCACTGGGGCTGGTGGAGCCGCGCCTGGAGGAGCAGCGACGGGCCGAGGCGGCGTGCCGACACATCCAGGTGCGGCGTCCCCTCGGGGCGGGCTGCCCAGGGCCGGGGCCTGTCTCCGGGGAGCCCCTCGGGCGCCCTCCGTGAAGGGGAGGAGGGGTCGTTGCTGTGGGGAGCCCCTCAGACAACATCCATAGAGGGGAGAAGGGGGGGTCATTGGGTTTGGGAGCCCCTCAGACATCTTCCATGAAGGGGGGGAGGGTGTTCTTGCTGCTGGGGGCACCTCAGATACCCTCCATGAAGGGGATGGGTGGTCCTTGCTGTGGGGAGCCCCTCACACCCCTCGTGAAGGGGAGGAGGATGGCCCTTGCTGTGGGGAGTCCCTCAGACACTATCCATAAAGGGGAAGGGGTGGTCCTTGTATTTGGGAGTCCCTCAGACATCTTCCATGAAGGGGGGTTGTCCTTGCTATGGCGGGGCCCTCAGAAACCCTCCATGAAGGGGAGAAGGGGGGGTCCTTGGGTTTGGGAACCCCTCAGACATCTTCCGTGAAGGGTAGGGGGTCCTTGCTGTGGGGAGCCCCTCACACCCCTCATGAAGGGGAGGGGGATGGTCCTTGCTGTGGGGAGCCCTTCAGACACTATCCATAAAGGGGAAGGGGGGTTCTTGCATTTGGGAGTCCCTCAGACATCTTCCGTGAAGGGTAGGGGGTCCTTGCTGTGGGGAGCCCTTCAGACACTATCCATAAAGGGGAAGGGGGGTTCTTGCATTTGGGAGTCCCTCAGACATCTTCCGTGAAGGGTAGGGGGTCCTTGCTGTGGGGAGCCCTTCAGACACTATCCATAAAGGGGAAGGGGGGTTCTTGCATTTGGGAGTCCCTCAGACATCTTCCGTGAAGGGTAGGGGGTCCTTGCTGTGGGGAGCCCTTCAGACACTATCCATAAAGGGGAAGGGGGGTTCTTGCATTTGGGAGTCCCTCAGACATCTTCCGTGAAGGGTAGGGGGTCCTTGCTGTGGGGAGCCCTTCAGACACTATCCATAAAGGGGAAGGGGGGTTCTTGCATTTGGGAGTCCCTCAGACATCTTCCGTGAAGGGTAGGGGGTCCTTGCTGTGGGGAGCCCTTCAGACACTATCCATAAAGGGGAAGGGGGGTTCTTGCATTTGGGAGTCCCTCAGACATCTTCCGTGAAGGGTAGGGGGTCCTTGCTGTGGGGAGCCCTTCAGACACTATCCATAAAGGGGAAGGGGGGTTCTTGCATTTGGGAGTCCCTCAGACATCTTCCGTGAAGGGTAGGGGGTCCTTGCTGTGGGGAGCCCTTCAGACACTATCCATAAAGGGGAAGGGGGGTTCTTGCATTTGGGAGTCCCTCAGACATCTTCCGTGAAGGGTAGGGGGTCCTTGCTGTGGGGAGCCCTTCAGACACTATCCATAAAGGGGAAGGGGGGTTCTTGCATTTGGGAGTCCCTCAGACATCTTCCGTGAAGGGTAGGGGGTCCTTGCTGTGGGGAGCCCTTCAGACACTATCCATAAAGGGGAAGGGGGGTTCTTGCATTTGGGAGTCCCTCAGACATCTTCCGTGAAGGGTAGGGGGTCCTTGCTGTGGGGAGCCCTTCAGACACTATCCATAAAGGGGAAGGGGGGTTCTTGCATTTGGGAGTCCCTCAGACATCTTCCGTGAAGGGTAGGGGGTCCTTGCTGTGGGGAGCCCTTCAGACACTATCCATAAAGGGGAAGGGGGGTTCTTGCATTTGGGAGTCCCTCAGACATCTTCCGTGAAGGGTAGGGGGTCCTTGCTGTGGGGAGCCCTTCAGACACTATCCATAAAGGGGAAGGGGGGTTCTTGCATTTGGGAGTCCCTCAGACATCTTCCGTGAAGGGTAGGGGGTCCTTGCTGTGGGGAGCCCTTCAGACACTATCCATAAAGGGGAAGGGGGGTTCTTGCATTTGGGAGTCCCTCAGACATCTTCCGTGAAGGGTAGGGGGTCCTTGCTGTGGGGAGCCCTTCAGACACTATCCATAAAGGGGAAGGGGGGTTCTTGCATTTGGGAGTCCCTCAGACATCTTCCGTGAAGGGTAGGGGGTCCTTGCTGTGGGGAGCCCTTCAGACACTATCCATAAAGGGGAAGGGGGGTTCTTGCATTTGGGAGTCCCTCAGACATCTTCCGTGAAGGGTAGGGGGTCCTTGCTGTGGGGAGCCCTTCAGACACTATCCATAAAGGGGAAGGGGGGTTCTTGCATTTGGGAGTCCCTCAGACATCTTCCGTGAAGGGTAGGGGGTCCTTGCTGTGGGGAGCCCTTCAGACACTATCCATAAAGGGGAAGGGGGGTTCTTGCATTTGGGAGTCCCTCAGACATCTTCCGTGAAGGGTAGGGGGTCCTTGCTGTGGGGAGCCCTTCAGACACTATCCATAAAGGGGAAGGGGGGTTCTTGCATTTGGGAGTCCCTCAGACATCTTCCGTGAAGGGTAGGGGGTCCTTGCTGTGGGGAGCCCCTCAGACATCTTCCATGAAGGGGGGGAGGGTGTTCTTGCTGCTGGGGGCACCTCAGATACCCTCCATGAAGGGGATGGGTGGTCCTTGCTGTGGGGAGCCCCTCACACCCCTCGTGAAGGGGAGGAGGATGGCCCTTGCTGTGGGGAGTCCCTCAGACACTATCCATAAAGGGGAAGGGGTGGTCCTTGTATTTGGGAGTCCCTCAGACATCTTCCATGAAGGGGGGTTGTCCTTGCTATGGCGGGGCCCTCAGAAACCCTCCATGAAGGGGAGAAGGGGGGGTCCTTGGGTTTGGGAACCCCTCAGACATCTTCCGTGAAGGGTAGGGGGTCCTTGCTGTGGGGAGCCCCTCACACCCCTCATGAAGGGGAGGGGGATGGTCCTTGCTGTGGGGAGCCCTTCAGACACTATCCATAAAGGGGAAGGGGGGTTCTTGCATTTGGGAGTCCCTCAGACATCTTCTGTGAAGCAGGGGGAGGGTGTCCTTGCTGCTGGGGGCACCTCAGAATCTTCCATGAAGGGGGGGAGGGTGTTCTTGCTGCTGGGGGCACCTCAGATACCCTCCATGAAGGGGATGGGTGGTCCTTGCTGTGGGGAGCCCCTCACACCCCTCGTGAAGGGGAGGAGGATGGCCCTTGCTGTGGGGAGTCCCTCAGACACTATCCATAAAGGGCAAGGGGGGTTCTTGCATTTGGGAGTCCCTCAGACATCTTCCATGAAGGGGGGTTGTCCTTGCTATGGCGGGGCCCTCAGAAACCCTCCATGAAGGGGAGAAGGGGGGGTCCTTGGGTTTGGGAACCCCTCAGACATCTTCCGTGAAGGGTAGGGGGTCCTTGCTGTGGGGAGCCCCTCACACCCCTCATGAAGGGGAGGGGGATGGTCCTTGCTGTGGGGAGCCCTTCAGACACTATCCATAAAGGGGAAGGGGGGTTCTTGCATTTGGGAGTCCCTCAGACATCTTCTGTGGAGCAGGGGGAGGGTGTCCTTGCTGCTGGGGGCACCTCAGACAACATCCATAAAGGGGAAGAGGGGGGGTCCTTGGGTTTGGGAGCCCCTCAGACATCTTCCATGAAGGGCAGGGTGTCCTTGCTGTTGGGGAGCCCCTCAGACAATCCATAAAGGGGCTCAAATATCCTCCATGAAGGGGGGGGGGGTTGTCCTTGCTTTGGGGAGCCTGTCACACACCCCTCATGAATAAGAGGGGGGGGTCATTGCTGTGGGGAGCCCCTCAGGTACACCTCCCCAAGGAAGTTGGGGGGTGACTGCTATGAGCAGCCCTCAGGTACATCCCCAACGCACGGACTGCTGTGACAGCCCCACAGACATCTCTTCCTCCCCCAAAATGGGGTACTGTGGAAGCCTCTCACCACCCTAAAGTGGGTATGAAGGGGTCCTGCCTCTGGGGAGCCCCTCACTCCCTGTCCCCCAGCAAAGGGAGGGCATCAGGGCCCTGGGGATGGGGGGGGTCTCATGTCCCAGGAGACTGGTGTTGAGCCCCCGGGTCTGTCCCTTCTCCCTGAGCCAGACGGGAGCCCCGCAGGCTGGGGCAGGCCGTGCTGGCAGGGCACTGGGGACGGATGGTGCTGAACATATTTCATGGGTAAAAATAGACCTTTGGTGTTTGGTGCCAGCTGTCACCTGCCCCACTAACCGGCAGACAAACGCCTTCCTGCAGAGTTTCTGCCTTTCCCTGAAGTTTCTCAGGATGTTTTATCTCCCCTGCCCTTGCAGGGTGGTTAAATTTGCTGTCTTCCCCTTTCAGCCAGCCCTGAATCTGTGTCCCTTTGCCATGGGGCACATCCCTAGGGCGGCCACCAGCACGTCAGGGTTGTAGCTCACAGAGAAGCCTGTCTTGCTTACGTGCTCCAGGTGACAGCTGTGGCACCACCAGAACTGTACAATCATGAATGCTGTGGTTAAACTCCAGGACAGCCCTTCTGTGCTTTGTTTTCTCTTGTCTCTTGTGATTTCCTCCCCCTGCTTTCTCCTGTCACTGATTCTCTTTTCCTTTAACCAAACAACCCTCATACTTGGCTGCCACAAAAGCTCAGGGCATTGTTTTTCCATCTGTTGTTGCTTTTAATTGGATTTTCTTTTAAATGCTATTTGCCTGATTTATTTATGGAGGGGGAGAAAAGTGTAATAGTGCAGGTCTTTTTGGAAGTATTTAATTAGACTTGTCTTTACAAAACATATTTATATTCTAGATTAGCAAATGACTTTGCCTCCCTGTTCTTTTTCCCCTGTGCATCTACAGCACCCTTGGAAAGGGCACCTGTGGTAAAGGCTGTTTTAGGGGTAATTTGTTTCAGACAAAAATATATGGTCTGTGAATTATTTTCCCTGTGGTTACAGTGATTTGAGCCGAAGGGTTAGAGCTGGATTGTGGCTTTCAGGCAGGACCGACCCCGCGGGATGCGTAAATACCACAGAATCACAGAATCTTAGTGGTTGGAAGGGACCTCTGAGATCATCGAGTCCAACCACAAAAAAAAGAAAAAAACAAAAAAAACCTCCAAAAAAACACACCACACCAAACGCCCACCAAAAACACCGCACCCACCAACTAAACCCCACACTCAACACCTCGCCATAAACCAATAACCTTGGGCACTAGAGCATGCCCTGAAGAGCCATGTCTATACGTTTCTTAAATCCCTCCAGGGATGGTGACTCCACCACCTCCCTGGGCAGGCTGTTCCAGTGCTTGACCACCCTCTCAGTAACGTAATTCTTTCTAATATCTAATCTAAATCTCCCCTGCCCCAACTTCTGACCATTTCCTCTGGTCTTGTCGTTCGTCCTTTGGGAGAAGAGGCCAACACCTGCATTTCTACAACCTCCTTTCAGGTAGTTGTAGAGGGCAATGAGGTCTCCCCTCAGCCTCCTCTTCTCCAAACTCAACATGCCCAGTTCCCTCAGCCTCTCCTCATAGGACTTGTTCTCCAGACCCCTCCCCAGCTTGGTGGCTCTCCTCTGGACACGCTCCAGCACTTCAATGTCTTTCCTGTAGTGAGGGGCCCAAAACTGAACACAGTACTCGAGGTGAGGCCTCACCAGTCAGGGAGTTCTCCTTCGTTGGGAAGTCCTGAATAACCAAGCGAGCTTTTTACCGTTCCCTTGTCGTCTTCTTTTCAGACAGTGTTTGTCGGAAAGAACAAGCCGCAGAAAGATCCCCTGAGCTCCTTCCGCTGGCAGGGCTTCAAGCTGGAGGAATATCTCATTGGCCAACCCATCGGGAAGGGCTGCAGTGCTGCTGTGTACGAAGCAGCTATTCCTTTCTCCAGCAGTCGTCGGGGGCACGCAGAGAGCAGCGATGTGGCCGGGCAGGGGCCAGTCGTGCAGCAGGACGGTGGCTGGGCCTCCCAGGCAGCTGAAGAGGAGCCCGTGGTGAGCCAGCAACCCAAGGAGACTTTCCCGTTAGCTATCAAAATGATGTGGAACATCTCGGTAAGGAGTCGGTTCTTCATCTCCTTCTCTGTCACCGGGGAAGCCCGGCTGAAATACTTCAATTTTAAAAGCACTAATTGTGTAGCGCATGGTGAGCGTGTCAAAATAAAGCTGTTGATATGTGACATTGGGGACAGGGATTGTTAGTGAGCAGTCCCAGAGCAAGGTAATTAGCATTTGTCATTCCTTTGGAATGGGGGATTGGGAGCTGCTGGCGGTGGAGGTGTTGGTTATGGAGGTGATGTTTCTGGAAGAGAAGCTTTTCTGAAGCTGGCTGTAATGGCAAGGTGCAAGAAGTGGAAAGCCACTGCTGGTGGCTTGGGATCGGTGTCCTTGTCGGCATCAGGATGGAAATAGATTTTCTCCTGCAAAGTGTGGCTGGGGGTGGGACAACAGCCTTGCCCTGATGTGAATGAGAGAGATCTGTGCTGGGATTTCCCAGCTGGGGTGACTCTCTGATCATCCACCCCCTCAATGTGGCTATTCCACATTTGAAAAAAATCCACGTGGCTTCCACATGGAAGAGGTTTTGTGGCACTATGTGACAAGTGGATATTCTAAAAGAGTCTTCCAAAATGCCAACATCTGAAATCCCTTGGGCTCCAGAAATACCCTGGGATTTGGCTGTGGGCTTTTCCAGTCAGATTTGGAAGCTGAAAGTGAGTGTTAATGTATAGCTTAGAGTGCTCACAGTTGAGGATACATCCGAAGAGACAAAGGGATTTCTTTCTGCAATTCAAGGCCTTGTCACGTGCCTTGGCAAATTCTTTAAATAGTTAATTGCCTTCCTGGGTTTGCAAAGTAGAGAAGGGAGTCCCTTCTACCTGCTCTCAGTTGATCTAACCCCAGACACAGCGCCAGGATTATCTGCTTTCAGTCTGTATTGAAGGCTGGATGAGCCTTACGTGGCTTCCACATGGAAGAGGTTTTGTGGCACTATGTGACAAGTGGATATTCTAAAAGAGTCTTCCAAAATGCCAACATCTGAAATCCCTTGGGCTCTGGAAATACCCTGGGATTTGGCTGTGGGCTTTTCCAGTCAGATTTGGAAGGTGAAAGTGCGTGTTAATGTATAGCTTAGAGTGCTCACAGTTGAGGATACATCCGAAGAGACAAAGGGATTTCTTTCTGCAAGTTAAGGCCTTGCCACATGCCGTGGTAAATTATTTAAATAATTAGTTGCCTTCCCGGGTTTTCAAAGTAGAGAAGGGAGTCCCTTCTACCCGCTCTCAGTTGATCTAACTTCAGACACAGCGCCAGGATTATCTGCTTTCAGTCTGTATTGAAGGCTGGATGATTTGGGAGCTCAAACCCCTGCGGTGTGTAATTGCTTTTGCAGGCTGGTTCATCAAGTGAAGCCATCCTCGATGCTATGGGCCGAGAGCTTGTTCCAGCCACGAGGGTCGCCTTAGCTGGAGAATATGGAGCTGTCTCTGGCCGCAGGTACAGTCACGATGGAGGCGGTGATGATTCTCAAATGGTCACACACTAATTTTAAACATCAATTAATTTTGTGGCACTGTTAAGAGTTTTCTGTAATAGGTCCTGAACGTAGATAAAACCAAAGCCCTGGGATTCGTAATGACTCAGGAGGTGTGTGTAGGTGTTTTGTCCAAACGATGGTGCCTTCCTAAGTGCCACACACCTCCAGCATCACACAGGGACGGGCTGCTGGCTGCCTTGGGGGTTTTTCTGTGGTGAACCTCAATGATTCTATGATTCTATGATTTCGGAGTGGTGTGGAATTGCTTTTGCAGGCTGGTTCATCAAGTGAAGCCATCCTCGATGCTATGGGCCGAGAGCTTGTTCCAGCCACGAGGGTCGCCTTAGCTGGAGAATATGGAGCTGTCTCTGGCCGCAGGTACAGTCACGATGGAGGCGGTGATGATTCTCAAATGGTCACACACTAATTTTAAACATCAATTAATTTTGTGGCACTGTTAAGAGTTTTCTGTAATAGGTCCTGAACGTAGATAAAACCAAAGCCCTGGGATTCGTAATGACTCAGGAGGTGTGTGTAGGTGTTTTGTCCAAACGATGGTGCCTTCCTAAGTGCCACACACCTCCAGCATCACACAGGGACGGGCTGCTGGCTGCCTTGGGGGTTTTTCTGTGGTGTGCTTTTCCCCCTGCACAGTTAGGAAACCGCATAGTGATACCGCTGTTCAAATAGTGATTTACCACAGCCTTGTTGGTCCTGAACGTAGATAAAACCAAAGCCCTGGGATTCGTAATGACTCAGGAGGTGTGTGTAGGTGTTTTGTCCAAATGATGGTGCCTTCCTAAGTGCCACACACCTCCAGCATCACACAGGGACGGGCTGCTGGCTGCCTTGGGGGTTTTTCTGTGGTGTGCTTTTCCCCCTGCACAGTTAGGAAACCACGTAGTGATACCACTGTTCAAATAGTGATTTACCACAGCCTCGTTAAAGGCTGAGGAGCAGATTGTGTCACTGTGTGTTGGTGTGTGGGGAATAGCTGCAGCTGAACTGTACCAGGTGGTGTAGCCCAGAACAGTGTTGGAAGGTCACTCCAGTAATTGGGGACCAACTGGGGTCCTGCCACTGGTCTGATGGGTGACAGTGGCCAGTGTCTTAGTTCCCCCATGTGTAAAACGCTTTGATATCTGCAGAGTTAAAGTCTGGGAGGATCTACTTCTGATTAAACATCATTTAAATGCGTGTCATGGTGCTTTTTAATTACAGAAATATACACCTGTAATCGGTAACAATTTGACTGTGTTAAACATCAAACAATTTGACTGTAATGCAGTTCGACTGTAATATTCTAGAACTGGTTTGGTTGTAAAATGGGCGCTGGGCAGGGGGGTGGAAACTACTAGTGCAGGGAAACTGGCGAGAAAGAAAGTGGAAAATGACTCAATTTCCACTCTTGAGGGTGGAAAAATTGCATGGAAACTTAAATAATCTTGAGTTAGCTATCTTTTTGTTGACAAATGCATCTTTTTGTTCAGTTTGAAACAATGGAGTCCACAGTCCGGATTGTCTGATTTAAATTTCAAATCCATCTCAGCTGCCAATAGAAATGAATAATGAATGCTGTGTGGTACGTCGCTAACCGAGAGCGCAGCCGAGCAGCCAGGGGGTTATTTGACATTCAGGAGAGGAGAGGGGAGAGATCTGTTTTGCAGCTATGGATAGGTAACCTGCTTTTCCTTGTAGTGAGTGCTTCCTGGCCCTGCCATAAAATACAGGGTCTAAATTGATACGGTGTGAAGTTGACCTATATTTTATGTCTGGCAAAGTAATTGTTTTTGGTGTTTTTTCCTCTCTAAAGCTGTTGTAGCTCTTTTTGAACTGAGAAGCAGCCTGTGATGAGCTCTGCCTTTGTTAGCAGCATGGGAGGGCTAGTAAGGTTTGAATAAAATTAAAGGTTGTGTGTTAAGGTTAAGGGTTTCCAGCAAAACTGCTTTTTCTGCACTGGTAAAGCACCAGTGTTTCCTGTTCAACCATTGTGTGTAGGGAAAACCCAGTTACAACAGAGTCCTAACAGCCACAGGTGTAGTCTTGGTGTGTGTACCCTCTGCTGGTGCACAGCACTGCCTTGGGGATGGTTCACTTTGCTGTGGGAAGCACCAGGGTAGATTTTGAACTCAGGAGAGAGAGCTGAGACCTGCCCGTGCCTGCCATGGACCTGCTCAGGCTGAGGGTGCTCTGCATCGACGTGAGGAACGCTGGGCTGAGGCACCAGTTAGGAAACTGGCCGTGAGGGCAGGGAAGTTGCTGTTGCTGTTCTTTCTGACTGTATGGTTTCCAGGATGCGAGCGTTTGAATATTTGCTTAACGTGCAGTCCTGTAATCTGTACCGGGCAGCCTTAATGCTCTCTCTAATAAGGTTTTCACTGCAGAATAAACCTGTTTGCACACAGCTTTGGAACCCTTGGGTGGGGAGGACGGGCCGTATTAATGAGAAGTAATTTCAGAAATAACAAGAGACGCGTCTGATAAATCCCAACTGACCAGGAGGCCGATGTAATCTGTGGAATCTGTACTTTTGTGCAGAAAACCTGTCCTTGGGAGGAAGAAGTTGCAGCCTCATCCGAATATAATCCAGGTGATCCGAGCGTTCACATCCTCGGTCCCTTTGCTGCCCGGAGCCTTCGCAGACTATCCCGATGTTCTTCCTCTAAGCCTGAATCCCAGAGGGATCGGTCACAGCCGCACGCTCTTCTTGGTGATGAAGAAGTAGGTAGAGAGATGCTTGTTATGCGACTCGGGCTTTTCTGCTGCTGCACGGGTCCTGGCAAAGGTTTGGCCTGGGCTGCTGCCAAAGAGCGGAGTGCGCTCTTGGAAATGCCTCCTGAGACTTGTTCCAAGTCCTTGAGATTTTAACTCTTTGTTCGACAACGAAGACAAGCTGTTCTTTTTAGTAATTACCCCAAATTGAAGTAAGAAATGTGGAGCTTGTCCCCGTTTGTCTGCCCTTCTGAGTCTGAACTTCACCCCCAGTGTGAGCACGCAGTTAGAGATGGAGTAGAATCGGTAACGAGATGTATTAGGGCTCGGCATCTCTGGCTTTCTCAGATGGGTTTTGGTTTTGAATGGGTACTGCAGTGGCATTGATGGAAAAGCACCTTCTGTTTCGCACTCCTTTGTTCTGCCTGCGGCTGGAGAAGTGCTCTGTCCTCTCTGTATTTCAAGAATATGTTCTGTCACCTGATGAGCACATCTCATTTTGCTCATACAATCTGCATTATTAATCTGCCTCCTCTTTCATCCAAAATCTAACATATAAAAACCTTTTAGAGTGACTACTGGAGCCCTTTGCCATGGCATTTAAGAGGCTTATTTTATTTGCAGTTGTTGATCTCAGGTGAGAGTGCCAAAAATTCAGTGGTGGGTGTTGTTGCAAACCAGAGGATTTGAGAGCAGCAGACAGGGCAGTGGTGTCAGGCTGAGGGTGGGAGGTAGGAAGGGATCGTGGAGGTCAGGAAGAATTTGGCACATATGAGCATTGATGGAGGTCATCCTGCCCCTCTGCTCTGCCCTGGGGAGGCCCCATCTGGAGCACTGGGACCAGTTCTGGGCTCCCCAGTTCCAGAAGGACAGGGAACTGCTGGAGAGGGTCCAGCAAAGGGCTACAAAGATGCTGAGGGGCCTGGAGCATCTCTGTGCTGGGGAAAAGCTGAGGGACTTGGGTCTGTTTAGTCTGGAGAAGACTGAAGGGGAATCTGATCAATGCTTATAAATCCTTCAAGGGTGGGTGTCAAGAGGTTGGGGCAGGTCTTTTTCCAGTGGTGCCCAGGGACAGGACAAGAGGGGGAATGGGCACAAACTTGAACGTGGGAAGTTCCATCTCAACATGAGGAGGAACTTGTTTGCTGTGAGGGTGGCAGAGCCCTGGCAGAGGCTGCCCAGAGAGGTGGTGGAGTCTCCTTCTCTGGAGACATTCCAACCCCCCTTGGACACGTTCCTGTGGGACCTGTTCTGGGTGGACCTGCTCTGGCTGGGGGTTGGACTAGGTGATCTCCAGAGGTCCCTTCCAACCCTGTATCATTCTGTGAGCGTGCTGCATCCCAGCCAGCACTGAGGTCAAACTGCAAGCATTAAGCTTCCAGGATGCTAATTCTGAGTTTTTCTTTGTTCTGACCAGTTACCCATGCACCCTGCGCCAGTACCTGAGGGAGAGCAGTCCAGATGTTCGTCTCTCCACGATGATGATTTTACAGCTCTTGGAAGGCGTGGACCATCTTGTTCGACACGGAATAGCACACAGAGACCTGAAGTCTGACAACATCCTGGTTGAATTTGATTCTGGTAGGTGGATCTGTGAGTAGAATTGCCAATTAAGTAACAGACAGAAGTGATGCAGCCATGTAGGTATTCGGAGAATTCCTACCCAGACGCACGTTTTGGGGGGAAAAACGAGCATCAAACCCTTTGAAGAATCTCAGTGTTAGTTTTTACTTAGCGCTTGCTGTCACTGCAGAACTGGGGAAGTCATTTATCCTGTCACTGCCTCGGGTTTGGATCATTAAAACAGACTTGAAAAAGGAGCATGGTGCTGTAATCAGGTGGAGGGATGCAGGGTATTGCTAAGGTTTGCACAGCGGATGTTGGCTGGAGCAGATGAGCATGTAGTAACGCCAGTGACATCAATGATGCTGGAGGTGCCTTTGCTTCAGGCTCTTTGCCAAATAACACAGCGTGGTTCTTAAAATCTCACCTCTCGGTGGGTCAGGTTAATAGTGCTGCACCCTGGGATGATGGAACGTCGATTGGAAATCAAGGGAACCCACAGCGTTAAAGCCCAAAGCAGCTTTTCCATCATCTTGTTCTCCTGTCAGCCTCTCTAACGGAGATTTTAATTACCTGAGCTCTTTTTTAGCGTGATTGGGATTTGAATGGGCAGGAAACAATAGCAGGCAGCCAGATCTGTGTAATTAAAGGTCTTGGTGCAGCAGCGGGGGAAGGTTTTCAGCATTACTAATGCCATCCTTCTTTTCTGGAAGGAAAAGCTGCTCTGGAGCAAAGCTGAATGTGGTTAGGAATGATGGGAAGCATTGATTTTTCCGTATCGGGTCTGGAGAATTAATGATTCCTCTTTGCAATGTTTGACTTGTCATCAGGACAAGGACTGGTAACAAATACAAAGTTTCTCTGTCCTTTTGCTATCACTAAGTCTAGATGTATATATCTATATCTGTAGCTTTTGCTGTAGGTAAAAGCAAAGGGAAAAAAGATGAATATGTTCCTCCATCATGGATGAGTCTCTAACGTTGTCTTCAGTTTTATGGTATCCACGACATTTTGTGAGAGACACGTTCCACGTGGAGCAGTAGTATTGTGTAAAGAGGAAATGAAATAACAAGTTTTTGTTTTAATAAAACTAATATTTCACCTAACATCACGGAGGAGAAACAGCGTGCGGTTGTGCTGATTCCTGGGGGTTTTGAGATGGTTCCTGGAGAGTGTCTCTGGTGTCTGTGTGATGGACAGCAGATACCCCCAAAGCAAACACTGACTCTGCTTGCCCCGTGTCGTTCACAGCTGGCTGCCCCTGGCTGGTGATCACCGACTTCGGTTGCTGTTTGGCAGATGAAAACCTGGGCTTGAGACTGCCTTTCACCAGCTCCTACGTGGATCGGGGTGGCAACGGCTGTCTCATGGCACCCGAGGTAAATCCCCCTGTAGTTAAGGTTTGTGTTGCTGGTTTTCTGCTTTTCCTGCTGGTGAGACCAAAAAGTTTCACCCCCAGCTGTGGTGCAGGCTGTGATAGGAACTCAGAAAAGGGTAGAATCATAGAATCATAGAATCATCTGGGTTGGAAGAGACCCTTGGGATCATCGAGTCCAACCATCTCCCCTACTCTACAAAGTCCTCCCCTACACCATGTCCCTCAGCACTGCATCTAAACGGCCCTTAAACACAGCCAGGGATGGGGACTCCACCCGCTCCCTGGGCAGCCTGTTCCAATGCCCGACCACTCTTTCGGTGAAAAATTCCTTCCTAATGTTCAATCTAAACCTCCCCTGTTGGAGCTTGAAGCCGTTCCCTCTCGTTCTGTCACTAATTACCTGTGAGAAGAGACCAGCACCAACCTCTCTACAGTGTCCTTTCACGAAGTTGTAGAGAGTGATGAGGTCTCCCCTCAGCCTCTTCTTCCTCATACTAAATAGCCCCAACTCCCTCAGCCGCTCCTCAGACGATTTGTTTTCCAAACAGGTAGGATTGGGTCTAGAAGCAGTGGAGGGTGTCAGGGTGTATCACTTTGCTGTGATTTGTCCCTATTTTCTGCTGAAAGCCTCCGCGATCGGATCGATTGTTTTCTACCCCTTCCTGCCTGTTGACATAACTGGGTCACAGAAGGCAGGACCCATAGCTGGTTACTGCATAACTGATCTCACCCTGTGCTCCCTCATGGGGAGCTGTGTCCCCTAAAGTGGTGTAGGAGGTCTCTGTCCTAACTTGAGTTACACTCGCTAAACATCTCTGCTTTAATAAAAAAAAAAACCCTTCTGAGCTGTGCTGAGCAGCTCTTAAACAGACACCTTGAGCGCTAAAAGGTTGTCAGTCAGTGTTAGGAGGCAGAATTGACCTTTCCCACAAAAAAATCCAACCCACCTTTGCTCTTCAGTCTTTTTTCTGTGGCCCCTTTCTATGTGGCTGTTAAAGAAGTTTATGCGGCGGCCCTTGTGTTGCGCCAGTAGTTTTTGGGTGAAGTTCAAGGTGGTTGTGAAATGGTGTGCAGTTCCTTTTTATTTCGCTGATGATAACCGTCATAAAAGGGAAAACACCCTTAACTGTCTGCTTGACCCCAAGCCCCATTGCCCAAGTGCTGGTGCAGTATTTTGTTTATCCACCTACGGTGCAGTGTTTTGTTTATCCACCTGTCTCCTGTCAGCCTGAAATCCCAGAGAGAAATAGCCCTCAGGACTCTGTGAATGCTGGTCTGGGGAAACAATTAAAGCCTGGTCACAATGACCAGACTCCTCCCAGTGCCCTGGTGGGCTGAGCAGTGTCTAGAGCATTCCAACAGGGAATATTCACACCAGACATTTAGATGAACCCTAGCTTTGGTTTCAGTCTCAGTTTATTACAGCGGAAATACTGACTCAACCCTTTGAAAACTCATTTTAGTAGAGAATCATAGAATCACAGAATTGTCCAGGTTGGAACGGACCTTTAAGATCATCCAGTCCAACCATCAACCTAACTGATAAAAACCATCACTAAACCCTGTCGCTGAGCACCATGTCAACCCGTCTTTTAAATCCCTCCAGGGATGGTGCCTCAGCCACTTCCCTGAGCAGCCCATTCCAAGGCTTCATAACCTTTTCAGTGTCAAAATTCTTCCTAATATCCAATCTGGACCTCCCCTGGTGCAACTTGAGGCTGTTTCCTCTTGTCCCATCGCCTGTTCCTTGGGAGAAGAGACTGACCCCCGCTTCTCTACAACCTCCTTTCATGTAGTTGTAGAGAGCAAAGAAAATCAGAGTTGAGCTGTTCATTTGACCATCACCATCTCTGTGACAGGTGATCACAGCATCCCCTGGCCCGGGCACCATCATCAACTACAGTAAAGCTGATGCTTGGGCTGTGGGAGCCATTGCCTATGAAATCCTGGGCCTGCCCAACCCTTTCTACGGCCACGGGGACTCGAGTCTGGAAAGCAGGAGTTATCGGGAAGACCAGCTGCCGAGCCTGCCCGATCCTGTGCCCCTTGAGGTGAAGGAAGTGATAAAGATGCTGCTTCAGAGGGATCCCAACAAGGTGAGAAGCTGTTGTGTTGCACAAGTTGTCTGACCCGCCCTTTGGGAGTATCATTTGTAGATCATGTCACCCCGGAGGGCTGAGGGCTGGAATCCAGGTCTCGCTGCAGTCTAGATAACGATCAAAGGCAAACAAAAGGTCTTTGCTGAAGTACAGTTAGGGCACTGAATTTCACTGAATTTCACTGAAGTTTAGAGTTGGAAGGGACCATAGAGATCATCTAGTCCAACCCCCCTGCTAAAGCAGGACCACCCAGAGCTTGTCAGAGCATGTTACTCAGGAGCATCCAGGTGGGGCTTGAAGATCTCCAGAGAAGGGGACTCCACACCCTCCCTGGGCAGCCTGTTCCAGGGTTCTGTTCACGTGAAGAAGTTTCTCCTCATATTTGAGTGGAACCTCTTCTGTTCCAACTTGTGCCCGTTGCCCCTCGTCCTCTCACTGGGAACCACTGAAAATAGTTTCAGGGAATTCAGTGGGTATTTGTGTCAGGGGCTGGACCTTGAATTGGGGGGGGATCATGTCCAGCTTCCAATAATAAATAGCACCAAAGAGCTTTTTTATTCACACAGACTTTGCGGTGCCTTAAGGGGGACTTCTGGCAGTGTAGATACTACGTGCTATCAAAGTCAGGGGTTGCAGCATGATCAGCTAATCCTCCCTCTCCTTCCTTTCACAGAGGTTGTCTGCCAGAGTGGCTGCAAACGTGCTTCACCTGAGCCTCTGGGGTGAAAGTGTTCTGGCCTCCAAGGCCCTCAAACCCGACCAGATGATCGCCTGGCTTCTCTGCCAGTCTGCGGCCGCTTTGCTCACCGACAGGCTGGTGGATAAAAGCCGGGTAGAAACCAAAATGAAGATGTGTTTTTTGGCAAACCTGGAGTATGAAGACCTCTGGGCAGCACTGTTCCTCTTGCTGGCCTGGAGAAGCCGGTCTGGGTGAAGAATACCATCGGGGGGGCATGACCGTGCGATAGATAAATGGCACTTTTTAAATGCACATAGGAATCTGTCTTTTCTGCCTGCCTGGAATCCTGTAGTGCTTTAGGGAACAAAGCTGCAGGCCTGTGTTTGAGAGGTTTTTGAGTTTCCCTCTAGCTTTTCTTTCTCTGCTGGAGGAAATGCCCTCGCTTCCTTACTCTTTTGGTGAGGGTTTGAGGACCTCGCAGGTGTCCTGAGGTGCGTGGTTGGTTTTGCTCATGTTTGGGAATTCACAGTTGACTTCGAAGTCGTGTGTTGAATGAAGCAAGTTCCCTTTCAGAAGGGGATGTGTGTGGCAGGAGGCACTGTCTAACTGCTCTTTACACGGAAGCATCACGGATTTAAACAATACACGGAGAAAGCTGAGCTGACAAAGGGATGTGCAATCTTTATTTTCATAGGGAAGCCATGGGTGGTCTTAAGGTGATATTTCCCTGCAGCCACAGATGTATCTTGCTATAAAATAACCGCCTAAAAGCCTCCTAGTGAGGTGCTGACTGGTGGGGTGAGCATCAGGAGCTGCTCACTTCGTACGATAACGCACCAGTAAACACCTCGCTAGTTGTACGCAAAATAGCACGAGTACAATGAACCCAAAACCTGCTTATATTTGTTTCTCAACTTGTTTTTGTGCAGTGACTGCTGTTGCGGGGGCCAAGGCCAAGTCAAACTGTCCAGTTTAGGGATAATTTTGTGACCGAAACGGGGCTGAGCAGCAGTCCCTGCTTAAAGAGTTTAGTGTGGTGCTCTTCTGTTTGAAATACCTGTTCATTGTGTTTAATAATGAAGTAATATCCTTTGGTCAGGAAGGATGAGAGACATCCCTGTTTGAACAACCACGGTGGTGTTTCTGAAAACATCATTCGATTTCGTGTCTGTAGTTGTGTTCAGAGGAACTCGGGGAGAAAGTTGGTGCACAATAAATATAAGGTTAAGCTCTGCTGCTGAGTGGGTTCTCTGAATCTGGCTGATGTCTGCTCGTGGGTTTTGGCTGTGGAGACCTCTGGGGCCACGTGGTCCTGGTTCGGTGGTGTCTTAAAAGATCATTCTGCTCTTTCCAGTCCCATCCCCAGAACCTGTTATTTTATTCCACCAAGTGGAGTTTCCTGATGAGGAGGAGACCTTGCCTCCTGAATGTGTCTGTTTTCTCCCCTCCTGAGTGGTAAAACTCTGGCTGCTCCTGCAGTTTCCAGGTCAATGTGGTGGTGTGTCAAATGGCTGGTGTCCCTAATCGTCGCGCAGTGACGTGCCATCAAGGTCTCGCACGCGTCTGGTTCAGCCATGGAACAGCCCTGCCTGTGAACGTGGCACACTGCTGGGGCTGTGAAGAGCACAGAGCCTTGGAAAACACGGAAAATGAGCTCTTCGGGGTAAAAGTTGCAGAAAAAGAACTTTCTAATCTTGGTCTGACCCTAAAAGAAGCTGCTGCTGCTGCTTTTTCTTAGTTCTTAGGTTTTTTCTGAGCTCTTGCAGCGTGTTTTTAGCTGGGATGGCTGCCTTGAATTTATGTGCTCTGTGCACCCAGATCCAGCAGCGATGCCAGTTCCTCAAACACTGTCTCTGGAGCTTTTGGAAGAGCTGATACTGTGGCTTTTTTGGTAGATCTTGGCTCTGACCTCTCTTTCTGTCCTTCTGCTGTTTCTCTGAGCCAGCTGGAGCTGGTTAGCTCAGCAAGGCACAGCTCCTCTTGTCTTTCCTCATCCTGCAGTACCAGGTGTGGAATACACACATTCCACATCCAAACCAACTCTGTGGAGTGGGCTTTCTGCTGGTTTTTTTTTCCCCCCTTGATTTTCCTCCCAGATCCAATTGCCCCACGAGTAGGGAGCAGAAATTAGGAGCCGGAGCCCTCTGATTTCAAGCACCTCATTATTAGGCCAACCAGGGTTTGAGCTGCCGGTTAACTCCAGACACTGCAAACTTGATTTCCCTGGAAATCGTCTCATTTGGTCTCTCTGGCCTCAAAAATGGCCTAAAACGTTGGTCCTGCAGCACTGCCTCTGGTTCTTAAATCCCTGTTGTTGCTCCTCATTTGCTTGCGCTTTGTCTGTCTGCCGTTCTGCTGAGGTTAGACTTTGGTTTCTTTCTGTTGTTTCACTGCCTGCCTTTTGTTAATGAGACATGTTTATGATTCTTCAGCATTCTGGATGCTTTTGAAAAGTGCAGTTTTAAAAGTACATGCTGTTAAAGCAACAAATGCTGCTTTACTCTCTGCAAATTCCCAAGGGGAGGGGGGTCAAAACAGGAACGTTTCCCAGCGCATCCCTCTTGCCCTGTCGCTCTAATCCTCAGGCTGCTGCGTTTGTTCCTGGTGTTTGCCAGGAAGCAGAGGGTGCTGTGGGGAAAAGGGGGTGGCTGTGAGGGGGGAACACAGGGGGCTGGTCAAATCTCTGCCTTTCCCTGAGCAGTGGGCTGCACTTTGAACCCTGGGGAGGGCGGAGGGAGGCATGGCCGAGGTGCCTGGCTCTCTGCCCGACTGCGGCGCTCCAACCGGGACGGGGACGAGCTCCGTGGCACCTCTCGCTCTTCTCCGTGTGGGGCAGAGGCTCGGAGCATGTGGGGCAGGGTGAGGAGTGGGCTCTGGGCTGGCTGCAGCCAGCTGCTGCCCAGGGAAGCCGCAAACCGTGCTCGCAAGCTGGCTGCGTTTGCCGCGGCGGCCACCCCGCGCCGTGGCTCGTGGTCCCCAGCTCTCCTGGCCACCTCTGGCTCCTCGCTGGGCACATCCACGGGGCTCCTCCAATGCCTGGCCCTGGGACACGGGACCTTTTGCCGCTGGGGCTCACGGTTCAACGTGCCCCCCAGTGCCCATTTCGTGGCCCGGCCCGTGGGGGTGTGCTCCATGATGAAACTGCCCGTCCAGGCGTCGGCGGAGGGACTGGATGCCGCTTTTGTGGGCGTCCCTCTGGACACGGGCACTTCCAATCGGCCAGGAGCCAGGTAAGGGGGTGCTGGGGGAGCCAGTGCTTCACTCCAGCCTTCTGGAATGGCTCTGTTCCTGTGGGAAGAGCATCAGGAACTGCCCGGCAGCTTTTCCTGGCTGTTTTCTTCTCTCTACCCCAGGTTCGGCCCCCGCCAGATCCGTGCCGAGTCGGTGATGGTGAGGAGCTACAACGGCAGCACCAGGGCAGCACCTTTTGACTCCCTGCGGGTGGCTGACATCGGGGACGTCAATGTCAACCTCTACAACCTGCCCGACAGCTGCCGCCTCATCCGAGAGTCCTACCAGAAGATAGTGGCCTCCGGCTGCGTGCCCCTCACCTTGGGTAAGGACCCCGCGTCCCCCTGCCGTGCCACCAGGCCCCTGCTCATCCAAACTCCCTCTCCTCCTCCCCTCCTTCAGTCTGAAGGGAAGGTGAGCGAGGAATCTGTCCCCTGCACGGGGTGTTGGGCTAAATAAGGGGCCAAATGGGTGAATCACAGGTAAATTTACCCTCTCTCTACTGAAATTCCTGCCATCCCTGGTGCCTCCTGTGTCAAAAAACGGGGAGAATGGGTCAGCCAAGAGACTGTTTCAGTGCATGGCCTGAAGCTCAAGCACAAGTCTGGTCAGCAGGGTGCTTTTAGTGCTTTGGTGTCCCAAAGCACGAGCGGTTTGTGCCCCTCTGGGAAGCTTTCAGCACCCAGCAGCCCGTGCTGCTTTGCACGGGGCATGATTTGGGCACACGTTCAAGTTCCCAGCTGTCCCAGCTTGGCATGGCTAAACGAAGGGAGCGTATAAAGTGGGGCAAATTATCAGTTACTGCGTTCTCAGAAGTGAATCAAACACCTATTTATAGCCCTGGGCAAGGGTCCTGCTCCACGGGCTGCCCCAAACGGGGAGAATGGGTCAGCCAAGAGACTGTTTCAGTGCATGGCCTGAAGCTCAAGCACAAGTCTGGTCAGCAGGGTGCTTTTAGTGCTTTGGTGTCCCAAAGCACGAGCGGTTTGTGCCCCTCTGGGAAGCTTTCAGCACCCAGCAGCCCGTGCTGCTTTGCACGGGGCATGATTTGGGCACACGTTCAAGTTCCCAGCTGTCCCAGCTTGGCATGGCTAAACGAAGGGAGCGTATAAAGTGGGGCAAATTATCAGTTACTGCGTTCTCAGAAGTGAATCAAACACCTATTTATAGCCCTGGGCAAGGGTCCTGCTCCACGGGCTGCCCCTGCCAGCAGTGATGTGTCTCTGGTCCTCCCGAGGAGGGAACAGGGGAGAGGAAACAACCTGCACCTGAGAGCCTCAGGTTTTCCTTTGGGTATGAAGCCCTGGGGTGTATAAAGAAGCGCAGGATGGATGTGAGGGGGGAAAAAAATCCTCTGGGAACAAAGGTAATGAGCCCTGAGCACCTCTTGGGGTGTGTCACAGCCTCTTCTCTGTCCTGTTGCAGGTGGAGATCACACCATAACATACCCCATCCTGCAGGCCGTGGCAAAGAAGTAAGTTTCCAACCTGGAGATGTAGAATTAAGGACCTGGGAAGGAGCCTTGGGAAGGTCTACACCTTGGGAAGGCTCCTGGTTTGTTCTCCACGGCGTGGGCAGGGCCACAAGGTGGGGACTAACCTGGCCACCCTCTCTCGACTAGGCATGGTCCCCTGGGACTGGTGCACGTGGATGCTCACACCGACACCGGCGACAGAGCCCTGGGGGAGAAGATCTACCACGGGACCCCCTTCCGGCGCTGCGTGGAGGAAGGGCTGCTGGACTGCAGCCGCGTGGTCCAGATCGGCATCCGAGGCTCCTCCTACGACCCCAACCCTTACCAGTACTGCCAGGAGCAGGTAAGCTCAGCCACAGGCACACACCGGGCGCTGCTTTCTTCTCCTACCATGAATATTCCCTCAGCTCCAGCAGGAAAAGAAAGGTATTTTCAGCATCTTATCCCATGCCAGCAGCTTGGCCTGTGGGATTAAAACTCCTGGTTCACTGAGCCATTAGTGGGGAATAAGAAAGTGGGAGTGAGCTCTAGAGGGTGCCCCAAGGTGCTTCTCTCTCTGCAGCTCGGCCCAGGGATGAGGATTTATCCCAGCAGAAATCATAGAATCATAGAGTTGTCCAGGCCGGAAGGGACCTCCAAAGGCCATCTAGTCCGACCCCCCCGCAGTCAGCAGGGACACCCCCAACTAGACCAGGTTGCCCAGGGCCTCGTCGAGCCTCTCCTTGAATATCTCCAGGGAAGGGGCCTCAA